AGAAGAAAGAAGCAAAGACAGTGCTCCTGCTTTTCAGGTATCCTGTCATCGCATCCTGAGAACTGCCTAACATCTGAGCTCATTTATTAGTTGATCAACAAACGTTTATTGAAACCCTCCTCTCTGTGCCTGACCCTGAGCTGGGCAGTGCCAAAAACACAGCCTGGCCCCGCCCTCAGTGAACTCAGAGTCCAGGGGCAGAGCCAGATTCGTTCTTCTGATAGACACCATCTAGAGTGATCAGAACATTTATGAGGGAAGCTCAGGGGTCATGGGAGCCCCTGGAGGTCAGAGAGGGCTTCCTGCTAGAGAGGACATCTGAGCTAAGTCTTGAGGGACTAGGTGTCAGCCAGGTCGAGAGAGGGGAGGACAAGGGAAAAGCATCCTGGGCAGAAGGAGTGGCACACGGAAAGGCAGGAGGTGGAGCAGAAGAGCATGATGCTCACAGTGAATGCAAGTTCGGTTTAACTGGAGTACAAATGTAAAGAAGGGGAGAGGCTGAAGTAAGCAGGAAGCCATCAGCATGATGCAAAAGGGCAGGTATGGCCTCCTACACCACCATAAAGCATGCAGACCCCATTCTGACAGTGCTCAGGAGTCATGGCAGTATTATGGACAGTGGGAGTGGACTCCATAATACATGTAGTATTATGGACAAGTTCACACTTGAACAGAAGTATGAACAAGTGAAGGGCAGAGGGAACATTAGTCAGGAACTAGCTAAGTTATGCTGCAGTAACAAACAAGCCCCCCGGATTCAGTGGCTCAAAACAGACAAGGTTTATTCCTTGCTTATGTGACATGTGCCATGGATCTCTAAGGACCCTGTTCCATATCATCTTCACTCAATAGCCCTGGCTGACCAAAGCTCTGCTATTTGAAAGGTTGGTGGGGACAGCGACAAAGCAGAGAATGTGGAGATCCACATACACCCGCTCAAATGCTTCCACCCAGAAGTACCTCTCACCGCTTCTTTGGCCACCACAAGTCACTAACCACACATTACTTGAGGCACGGAAAAGGGTGATCCTCCCACATGCCCAGAAATAGAGAAAGACTGGCCACTGATGATCAGGAGCAATGGCCACCCTAGGACATGGGCATGGAAGCATCAAGAACAACAGGGAACAGGTAAGAAATGAAGCAGCCTGGACTCAGATGGCAGAAATGAAGGATGTGAAGATCTGAGGGACATTCAGGAATCACATAGAATTCTGTATCTGCTGGCAATCTGTCCCAAATTCTTATTCTAGAAAACCAGCGAACACACAAAAATAATCAGACTAACAATCAGGAGAATGGGGAGATGTTGGTCAAAGGCTACAAACTTCCAGTATAAAATAAATAAGTTCTGGAATCCAATGTGCAATACGGTGACTATAGTGAAAAATGTCATATTGTGGGGCACTTGGGTGGCTTAGTCGGTTAAGTGTCTGCTTTTGGCTCAGGTCATGATCTCAGGGTCCTGGGATCCAGCCCCATGTTGGGCTCCTTGCTCAGTGGGGAGTCTGCTTCTCCTTCTCCCTCTGCCCCTCCTCCCCCAGCCCATGCTTTCTCTCTCTTTCTCAAATATTTTTTTAAATGTCGTATTGAATACTTGAAAGCTGCCAAGAGAGAAAATCCCTTTTTCCTTTTTTAAAGTTTTATTTATTTAATTAATCTCTACTGCAACGTGGATCTCAAATTCACAGCCTCAACATCAAGAGTCATAGGCTCTTCTGATTGAACCAGCCAGGTGCCTCTCTTTTCTTTTTTTAATTGAAGTATAATTGGCATAAAGTGTTGTATTAGTTTCAGGCGTACAATATAGTGATTCAACACTTCTATACACACTTAGTGCTCATGTGGACAAGTGCTCTCCTTCATCCTCATCTCCTATTTCACCCATCCCCCCACCAACCTCCCCTCTGGAAACCACCAGTTTGTTCTCTGTATTTAGGAGCCTGTTTTTTGTTTGCCAAAGAGAATAAATCTTTTTTTATAAAGATTTTATAAATCTAAAGATTTATTTATTTATGTTACAGAGAGAGTGAGAGAGAGAATGGATGAACACAAGGGAAGGGACAGAGGCGGAGGAAGAGACTCAGAATCCCCACTGAGCATGGGGCCCTATACTGGGCTTGATCCAATGACCCTGAGATCATGACCTGACCTGAAATTAAAAAGTCAGACACTTAACCAGCCGTGTGCCTCACGAAGGGCGTAAATCTTAAGTATTCCCACTATACATATTAAAAATGGTTAACTATGTGAGGATGTGTTAATTAGCTGAATGTGGTACATTTCACAACATAACACGTGTGTCAAATCATCATTTTTTGCGTTTTTGCACCCTAAATACATACAAGGTTTAGTCATCAATTATACCTAAATAAACCTGGGAAAACCAATCAGGTGGCTGTTAGAACAAAAATGGGCTCTTTAGTGCTGCTTAGAATAGGAGCAAAAATTCATTAGCGCGCCCAGCACTTGTCTACATAAGCATCTGCGGAGAAAAATATAACGCAAACCGTGTGTATCCTTCTAAATTTTCTAGTAACCACATTAGAAAAAGCAAAGAAACAGGTCAGATTAATCACATTTCAGGGTACCTGGGTGGCTCAGTGGTTGAGCATCTGCCTTCACCTCAGGTCATGATCCTGGGGTCCTGGGATCGAGTCCCACATTGGGCTCCCCATGGGGAGCCTGCTTCTCCCTATGCCTATGTCTCTACCTTTCTGTGTCTCTCATGAATGAATAAATAAAATCTTAAAAAAAAAGATTAATCACATTTCAATCCAATATGTCCAAAATATTATCATGGTAGAATGGGACCCATATAAACATTATTAATGAAGTATTTTACATTCCTTTATTTTTCCTGCCAAGTCTTCAAGTGCAGTGTGTCATTTATGTTCACAGTGCATCTCCATCCAGACCAGCCACATTTCAAGGGCTCAGTAGCCACATGTGGCCTCTTTATTGCACAGTGAAGATCCAGACATACTAGCTAATTACTACATCTTCACAACAGTCCTATAAAGCAGGTACTGCTTCTGTTTTATAGATGAAACTGAGGCACAGAAAAATGAAGAGACTTGCCCCAAGTCACAAACTGGGGGAGGAACTGGGCTGTGGCCCCAGGAAATGCAGCTCCTTGCATGTGGAATCAAGATAGGCTGCTGCACAGGCCAATATGAGGCTGGGTGAGAGAGTGCCCATGGGGGCTTCTCCCATGCTCACCAGAGGTCTCCGCAGAGGATAAGGATGATTCTGGAGAATGCTGAAGAACCTTGCACCAGACCCAAGCAGGAGGGTGTGGGTGGGAATCCAGAGGCATGGGAAAGGATTGGATCATCTGCCTCTCACTTGCCACAGACTGCCGGAAAATCCCCCGGAGCATCTGGCTGCAGGCTGTGGACTGTAATGCTACTGGCTCCACTGGGATGGAGCAGAAAGCTGGAGCTGAGTCCCTGTGAAGGCCCAGACCCAGGAGGGTTGGGTTGAAGGCCTTCTTCAATGGTCCATCTGGTACCTAGCTCTGCACTGAGAACCCCAATCTCTCATGTAATCGCCCTTTCTTTCCGAATGGGAAAACTGAAGCTCAGAGAAGTACCATGACTTGTCCAAGATCACATGGGAAGAACAGAAAGGATGTATCAGGAAGGACAAAAAAGCACACTTCCCAACCCTCATCCCATGGCCATCCAATTCCCCTTCCAGAGGCAAGGGTACCGACTGCTTGCAGGTATTTCCTGAAATATCTTAGGCTATACGAGCATTCATAGCCAAATCATTTTTTCAAAAGATTTTATTTATTTATTTATTTGAGGGGGGCAGCAGTAGGGAGAGAGAACATGAAGCAGATTCCTCGCTGAGTGTGGAGCCCAAGACGGGACTGGATCCCATGACCTCAAGATCATGACCTGAGCTGAAACTAAGAGTCAGATGCTCAAATGACTGAGCCACACAGATATCCCCTGATCATTTTTTTTTACACAGATGTGGCACACTATTCTGCATCTTCCTTTTATTTTCCACTTAACAATATCATCTTCAGGGACGCCTAGGTAGCTCAGCAGTTATAGTGTCTGCCTTCGGCTCAGGGCATGATCCTGGAGTCCCAGGATTGAGTCCCACATCAGGCTCCCTGCATGGAGCCTGCTTCTCCCTCTGCCTGTGTCTCTGCCTCTCTCTCTCTCTCTCTCTCTCTCTCTGTCTCTCATGAATAAATAAATAAAATATTTTTTAAAAAACAATATCATCTTCATGATCTCTCCAGATTAACACATATGGATGTGCCTTGTTTTTTTTTAAGAATGCCCATAGGAAAAAAAAAAAAAAAAGAATGCCCATAGACCTCAAACTATCTGAATGTAGCATAATTAACTTAACCAGTCCCCTCATAAGGAACATTTAGGTTATTCCCCATTTTCTTCCATTAGAAACACTACTGAAATTAGTATCACTTGGGGAGACCTCCTGCCAGCCCTAGGAGGCCATGCCCATAAGATAAGTCCCCTGGGGGATAACTCAAAGTGATGTGCATTTTTTTTAAAGATTTTATTTATTTATTTATTCATGACAGACACACACATAGAGAGAGGGGCAGAGACACAGGCAGAGTGAGAAGCAGGCTCCACGCAGGGAGACCGACATGGGCCTTGATCCTGGGTCTCCAGGATCACACCCCGGGCTGAAGGTGGCACTAAACTGCTGGGCCACCAGGGCTGCCTGTGATGTGCATTTATTATTTTGAAAAACATGTCCACACTGCACTCCAGATTCCCACCTCCACCACTGGTTGACTACCCATCTCTAAAAAGGGCTTTTCGCTCTCTCTGTGTTGTTTAAATGTTTTACAGTGAGAAGGTATTCACGTACTACTTATGTAATTAAAATTAAATAAGCCCTTCATTAAAAACTCAAACCTGGAAAGGAGAGAAACCAGCAGGGCCAGTTCAGACTGAGCCTCCCACCCTGTCCCCTGTCACATCTACCTTGTCCCCAACAAGTCCTACCTGATAGTGAAATCCATTTCTCAAGCACAAACACGGACCTCAGCGACCTTGGGAAAAATGCAGGGATGAGATGATGTAATTTTCCCTCTGTGGTTTTTCATCTGAATTAGATTCTTCTGCTCTTCCCATAGTTCTTTCTTATCCTCCCTCTTCTCTCCTCAACTTCTGTTTCGGTGAGCACTGTACTGAAAATGTCTCTCAGGTCTGTCCAGTTCAATGAGAGAACACTTAAGTTATGCAGAATCTGGCATTTTTCACAAGAAAAGAAGAAAGGAAGAGCAGTGCTAGGAGCTTAGAAGTAGAAACTGGAAAAGCAAAATAATAATCTATTCTATTTTAAATACATTAATGTCTCCCTTTCCTTTCCCTTCCCTTCCTGAACACAAGCAAGTAGATGGTGTCTGGAAGAGGGGATAGATCAGGGAGGGGGGTGGGGGGAGGTACACAGGGCTCAGAATCGGGTGTCAGAGCCAAGTAGGGTCAGGGTGGCATCCGTACCAGGGGCAGGGGGTCTGGGCAGGTGGCAACCCCAAGAGACTGGTTGACATTTGAGGGGATTGAGCAAAGAAGTAAACAATAAAGATTTCTCACTGATGGAGAAATGAGCTATAATTATGCAAACAGTGAAAACTAGAATGGACTATGCAGAGTTGGGAAAGAATTGAAGATACCAGGGGAAATTCATGATTTTCAATATGTAAAAAGAGATCCAGAAATGAATGTAGATGTAAGTCCATGTGCATATATATGTAGGTGTATATGTGCACATTCCCAATCTCCATCCAGCAAGAGCCTGTCCGTGACCACATGGAGCAGCCAAATCCTGATTTCTAAATTTCATTCCCCTGAAATGTGGCAGGGTTTCTTCTTGGGGTGAAGGCTACTTTCAGGACTGGATTGAGGAAAGTACAAGATGAGTCTGGCACATCTCACTGTGCCAGGAAGCAAAAAAAAAAAAAAAATGCCCAGAAAATGAGAGGGTCAGGTCAAAAGGATATGGGAGTCAGCTCAAAGGGGCTCTCTCAGGTCAAACTGAGGACAATTTGAACATCATAGTAAACAATGGTTACAATAGATTATCAGGACGTCTGATCCTGATAAGGCTCAGCGGTCGAGCGCCTGCCTTTGGCTCAGGTCGTGATCCCAGGATCCAGGATTGAGTCCCACATAGGACTCCCTGAGGGAGCCTACTTCTCCCTCTGTCTGTGTCTCTGCTTCTCTCATGAGTAAATAAAATCTTTCTAAACATTTTTAAAAGTTTAGATGAGGAATAGGGTATTTATCTCCAAAACATCTTCCCAGAAAACACATGATTAACAAAGGGGGAAAAAAGAGTAATTTTACAGTAGAAAAGCCTGGAAGACACCCCTTACTGAAGTATCACAGCAAATATCCTGAGGGGGAGGACCTGAAATTGCTTCTGTGACACTCCAGCCAAAGACGCTTAGCCAGACTCTGATTATAAGAAGATACAGGATGAATGCACATTTATGGATATCCACCCCCAAACCGGCCTGTCATGTTTGCACGTTCAAGGAAAGAATGAAGAATGTTTCCAGACTAAAGGAAGACACGGAGACATGCAAGGTTATGCAATGCCAGAGTCCAGATTGGAACCTTTGTTACGGAAGCCATGACTGGGACAGCCAGTGAAACTGAATGGAGTCTGAGAATTGGGTGGCAGTGATTTATTGATGCTAATATTATTCATTTGTGAGGCTGTAACCTGGTTATACAGGAGAAGGTCCTTGTTTGTAGGAAACACACAGTGAACATTCATAGGTGATGGGGGATAATACTGGCAACTCACTCTTGGATGATTTAGGAAAAGCAATTTCTTTGTACCAGGTTGTACCTGCAACTTCTCTGTAATCTTGAGATCTTGCCAATTAAATAATATTAAAACAGTGCTTTTAAAACTTGTTTGAGTACACTGGGGGTGAGGAATACATCTGGCATCAACGTCGGCATGAAACATATTTGCAAAATTGCAATAAAAATGTCACCAAACGAAACATAACCTTGCTTCAAAAGAGAATATCAAATACGGTTTTATAAATTGTTAGTATAACCCAGGAAAATAACTTCCAAGAGAAACAGTAAAGAAACAAACCCCAGAACACTGCTGGAGATTAAATTGCCTTCATGACCTAGAATTTTTGTCCAGTCTTTTTGCAAGTGCGTCATAATAAGGACAAACATATATATAGGTTGTAGCACGCCCTGGGTGCTGCTCTAAGGATTCTGCAGATACTGCTTAATCCTTGCAACAATCTTATGAGGAAGGTAATCTTAGTTCCCAATTAAAAGTTGATGAATCTGAGGCTGGAGAAAGGTAAACTAATTTGCCCAAGGTCACACAGCTAGGAAAAGGTGGAGCTGGCTTAGAATTTTAGCCCGATCTCACAACACCCTGTAGAATGGACATCATCATCCCCCATTCGACAGATTGGGTAACCAAGTTTCAGAGAAACTAAATCGCTAATTCATAGTCATGCTGATTTTGAAAAGCCCAGACTTGTCCCCAGGCACAGACTGGCACAGCCAGGGAGACCTAATGTCAACAGTAAACCCTGAATCAGGAATCTTGGGCTGTCAATCTAGAGTTTTGCCAACCAATATGGTAGCCACTAGCCATATGTGGCTGTTTCATTCAAATTAATTAAAATTAAAACTGTGGTGTCTCACATTTGCCACTTTTATTTTTAGGAATTTTTAAAAAGATTTTAGGTATTTATTCATGAGAGACACAGAGAGGCAGAGACATAGGCAGAGGGAGAAGAAGGCACCCCATGGGGAAGCTAATGTGGGACTTAATCCCAGTACCCTGGGATCACGACCTTAGCCAAAGACAGATGCCCAACCACTGAGCCACCCAGGTGCTCCAACTTTATTATGTTTTTAAAAGTAATCTTTACACCCAACATGCAGCTCAGATTCACAAGCCCGAGATCAAGAGTCACACACTCCAACCAACTGAGCCAGCCAGGCACCCCTCACCACTTTTCAGCATGTGCTTATGGCTACCGCGCTGCACAGCTTAGACTACAGGACATCTCCATCATCATCAGAAGTCCTATTAGACAGGGTGGAAACTAGAGACTGCTTTGCAAGGGCTCAACAATTATTATTTTCAAAGGGGGGGACTAGAATATTCCAGATAGTTTTTAATTAAATGACAAATGCAAGAGCACCCCCTAAACAGACTGTTGGTTAACAACCGCATTTCGTTTTTCACTAAAGAGGCAATGCCACATTTTTCACATAAAGGTGTAAGTCAGGAAAAGGAGCCTGTTGGCCCACAAACCCCAAGTGGGTTTCAATCCATGGTCATAACATGGTCATGATATGGTCATGGCTGTGACACCTGATGGTACCTCTAAAGTCTCACCTTGTAGATTTCTAATCCACTGAGTCAAAACCCCAGATCTTGCTTTGAAGTATTTGGCATTCTGCATCATGGAAGGTACGTATGGCCTCGAAGAAATAAAAGTGGAGAAAACAGAAAACAAAGGGTCTGCCAATAATAGTAGCTACCAATCACTCTTCCCAGCAAGGGCGGTTTACAGACCTAGTCTTCATCTTTCTCACACTACCCCTGGGAAGCACACGGGATTACACCCATTTTTACAAACCAGACATGGTGGCTCACAAAGTGAATTCACTGCCCAGATTCACACAGGTCATAAATAAAGGAATATGAACTTGAATCAGTCCCATCTCAAACTTCACATCCGGCTTCTTCCTGTGAATGGATTTACCTAATCTAAAGCAAGCCCAGGAGAGACACTGGTTCCAGCATAAAAGCACTGGAAAGCTCATGCAGACAATTGTCAAAGCAAATAGGATTACAGTACACTAACAACTAATTCACGCTAATGATAGACAGGTCAGAGGCAGGGTGGAGACGAAACCAGGCACAGGAGGGCAGGTGAAAGGTTTAAAAGTCAATCGGAGAAGGACAAACATTATATGGTCTCATTCAATTGGGGAATATAAAAAATAGTGAAAGGGAATAAAGGGGAAAGGAGAGAAAATGAGTGGGAAATATCAGAGAGGGAGACAGAACATGAGAGACTCCTAACTCTGGGAAACGAACAAGGGGTGGTGGAAGGGGAGGTGGGCGGGGGTGGGGGTGACTGGGTGATGGGCACTGAGGGGGGCACTTGACAGGATGAGCACTGGGTGTTATTCTGTATGTTGGCAAATTGAACACCAATGAAAAATAAATTTATAATAAAAAAAAAGAAGACGAAAAAAAAAAAAAGATTTCAGAGTGAGGGGACGAAATGCCCAGCTGGCTAAACTTCTCCAGCCTGTTGCTGTACTCTCTAACCAGGCCCCAATGCTCTCTGCCATCACCACTGCCATGTGGGTTGAAATCATAGATCTTTTCTATCTCACCTCTAGAGTCCAGTGCAGTAATAACAGAAATTTTGAGACCTGTACCCTCCATCCAGCGGCCACATGTGGCTAATTTGAGCACTTGAAAGAGGACCGAGTAACTGAATTTTAAATTTTATTTCGTGTTAATGAATTTAGACTCAAATGTATACCCCACCCATGGCTAGTGTCTGCCATATTGAACAGTACCTCATAAGAGCAGGGCATCCCCAGATGTATCCCCCAATGTGCAATGGGTGAACTAGTTGTTCTAGAGGCACTCTCTGGGGTCAGACTCCCGGGTCCAAATCCCGGCTCTGGGAAACCTTGAGGAAGTGACATAATCTTGATGGTACCTCAGTGTTTGCATCTGTAAAATGGAGCGTCCTTAAGTGGCCCTGAAAAAGTGTTGGAAGTTATTGAATCTAAGTGCAGAGCAAATAAATGTGCATTGCATGATCTTTCCAACTTGTCTGGGTGAGATTTCTTTTTCCTAAGATTTTATTTATTTATTCATGAGAGACACAGAGAGAGGCAGAGACATAGGCAGAGGGAGAAGTAGGTTCCCTGTGGGGAGCCCGATGCGGAACTCGATCCCAGGACCCTGGGATCACAACCTGAACTGAAGGCAGCTACTCAACCGCTGAGCCATCCACATGCTCCGATTTTATTTTTAAATAAAAGTTGGAAAACCTAAATGCTCGTTCTATTCTGCTCTGGGCATTCAGTGGTGCTAGTAAAGTGCTTACCTCAGTGCCTGGCACCTAGAAACAATGGAAGCCTTAAGAAGTTGAGCAAGCATTTACCTGGCAAACGCCTCCTCTCTGTCATGTGCCAGAGACATAGACAAATAACATG